ATGTATGTATGCATATGTATATGTATGTATGTATGTATGTATGTATGTATGTATGTGTATATATATATATACAATCAGCCAGTTTGCAGATGAAGGGCCACGTCCAAATCGAAAAGCCTTGTCTTAAGCAACCTGTGAACACGAATCTGGTCAGAATCATCCGTGGCGGTGTGAGACACTCCCCAGGGTTTTCCCGTCCACAGACCGTTCACCATCATTCACCCAAGAGGAACCAAAAATGGTCTTGAAGGTCATTGCTCTTCTGTCAAAGCCGGAGTGTAGCGGTGTGGCCTGAGGTTTACACCTGCAGCCTTTCCTTTCCTAGGAGAGCGCCGGAGAATGGCAGCGTGGTCTTTGCTTGGCGAGTGAATCTCAACAGGCAAGGTCTTTAAGGTTTTAAATGTATAGTGGTTGGGGAGAATGGCGAGGATGATGACGATCTGGCGAAGGAGCAACAGAAGAAGGAGGAGGAAGAGGAGGATGAGGAGGAGGAGGAGAGGGAGGAAATGGACAGGGACCAGTATGAAGAAGTGGGTCAGGGTGGTGTTGGTTGTTATCATGGTGCAGCAGCTGATGATACTAATGGCATGTGACATCGAGGTCGTGACCAATATGATGCTTTGGGCAATGATGCTGGCAGGATGGTCTGGTCAGGCTGACCTGGAAGCAAGATGGTCAAAAATAGTGCGAGCACACATGTACCCGGGTTTCATCCCGAAAGAATGTGGAAGGTCATGAGAGCAGAAAGCCCCGGATCCGACATCCTAAGTGACCTGTGTCGAGAACAACTACACAGTGACTGAACCTCACAGTCCAAAGCTGGGACGTCGTATTTTAGCGGCCAGGATACTACAGCCGCCAATGCGCTGCTCTCAGCTTGCGAGAAGACCTCGCAACTCGACGTCGGACAAGACTCGTGCTTTCCAGCTTCTCGGTTTTCGCTTGTGATTCACCGAACCCCGTCCATCACAGACGTCTTTTGCAAAAGCGCGAGGCGCTGGAGCACGGCGCTTCTGATTGCTCCCGAAGCCCCGGACGACGCAGGCGCTGACGAGCAGAGCTATGAGGGTAGTTTTGCTTTCGGGGGCAGCATCGTACGTCAGTTTTGTGGAGATGCTGTCGCCTTCGGAGGGCTGTTGCTCCCATGTCTTGCGGAAGACTGACATCAACAGCCTGAGCATCATCGCCAACACCGTCATCAACATGGTCATGATAGGGATCTAACAATGTTGCCATTGATGACAGTAGTGTGCGAGGGTAGCCATGCTGAGGCAAGATGATGGTGGTGATGGACTTGATGGTGAGAGGAGCAGGACATAGCAGGAGTGGAACAGGAGGATAACGATGAGGTTGAGGATTAGATAATGTGGATGAGTGGAGTGAAGGTTGATGATTGCATAACGCTGGCGACGATCTTGACGAGGACGAGACTTATGACCGTCGGCAAGATGAGACTGATGAAGGTCATCTGATGCTGACGATGTAGACGGTGGTTAGTGATAGCGAAGATGGCTCGGTCATTCTTTTGACATACACCCGTGTGGAGGGTTATAATAGCGCAAAGACATGAAGGCTCGCCGAAGGATCTTCGGGATTTAGGCCTTTCGAGTGCAGAGACCTTCAGTTGCGCTGGGCATGTTACTATGATGGGATTGTGTTGGAAACGCTTCCCCTGCCTGAACCCGGCGGAGTCGTTGCAGGCCAGTTGCAAAGGCCTTTCGATGCCAGATATTGTCATCCTGTCCCCGTCATCGCACCACTGCAGTGGGGTGGGTGTAGCGTCTCGGCGATCAACTCGGCCGGTGTGGGGAGCTTTTTCTAACTGGCTTACGCTCGTTCCTACAAGGTCCTAGAATGGCATAGTGGAGAACCCGGTCAAGAGGTGTGTGGTCCGTGTAGGAAGCCTGTCGCAAACCATAGACCTGTCCAAAAATGCCCAATCTTCCAAGTACCCAAAGGCCCACGCCAGACGAGATCCCGAGCCTCCAATTGCATGAAGGCTATGGAACCTTGGTCACCACCATGGCACTCGCCGAGAAGTGGCAGTGGGGCTTGTCTCTTTTGGGCTACTTGGAAACACTTTGCAAGAACATGCTGTTTGGCAACGTGTCTTTGTGAAGTCTTCTAACTTTCGTTTCTCCTTTGAGCCTAAGCTACAATTTCCGGCCAGGAAGCATGGGTTCACAAGATCTTCGACCGCAACTCTCATGCACATCATCTCGGTCTGCCTGTTTCGGGGTTCCGGCCGAGCACTTGCATTTGAGTGGATTCGCTCAAGCAGGTCACCTGCTTTGGGGCCCATTGAGTCTTCAAGGTTTCACAGAATAGGAATGAATAGGACTGCAATTGGTTGCCGTCCCGCATAACGCATTGTTGTTCCCCGATTTGGAGAACAACGCCCCCCGCGCCTGTTGTCGTTTCCCCCCCGCTTTGTTGTTCGAACAATTATTGCTTTGTTGTAGTAGCACTCGTCCTTGTAGCAGTAGACTCAGCAGCAGCAGCAGCAGGAGGAGTAGTAGCAGCAGCAGCAGGAGGAGGAGGAGTAGTAGTAGTTGTTGTTCCCACCCCCCCTTGTTGTTGTTCCTCAATAAGAACACCCCCTGTTCCCCTCCTTCCTTGTTCCTCAACAACCCCCCCCCTCCCCTCCAATCCCCCTGTTATTGTTCGCCAAATCCACGAACAGTAACTCCCCCCCCACCCACCCTTCCCTATCGAAGGGGTCTCGACCTTCAGGCGATTGCATAAGTCCCGATGCACAAGAGCATGCAAGTAGGCCCCTCAGCCCCTGCGAGCGACTTCTGGAATGCAAACATCCTTAAATTTGTTCGACTGCTGTGTCGTCGATGTGTTCTTGCGTCCTCTCGGACAGTCCGTGATGTCTGGTTGTGTGTGTGTTGTCACTCGTTGTTTGAGTTTTAGTCGTGTCGGTTGCTTGCGCTTCCTGAACTCTGCGACAAGATACGGGCCTTGGCCAATGACTGTGTGTGCTCGAGTCCCCGGTCATCAGCTTCCGGAAAAAATGTGCATCGCCAACTAACTTGAGGAGCGTCCCGCGGTCACTCCCGTGCTGCTTCTGCAGGCTGAAGCCTTCCGTTTGCGAGAGCAGTCAAGGCAGCTCCGTGAACAGCTACTCGGAGCAGTTTGGAGACCTGAGAAGAGCCGAATGCTCCCGCGTTGCTAGCCGCCAGCCGTTACTTCCAGAAAGAAAATTCGAGGCTGGCCGAGACGGAGTCCAGTCTGAGAGCTTCGCGAAAAGGTTTGGAGGAGGGGAAGCGGAAGTCTCGTGCACGCACCGATTCCCAGATCTTGTCATCCGTCTCGAATGCGACTTTGAGATCTTGTGGCTTGGAGGATGCACAGTCCGCCCAAGAAAAGCTGCAAGAGAAGTTGCGAAAGGCAGAGCGCCAGCTGAAAGAGAAGGCCGGCTGAGGAAGTAGGCGAGCCTCCCGCATGCAAATCCGATACTTTTCACGGCCGCAGCTTGCATCTTGATGTGCAGGCTGCTGTGCCGAGTCAAGCTCAGTTGCGGAGACACTTCGCGCTGTGGAAGCTTTAGAATTTGAATGGCTTCGTGCGTTGCACTGAGGACCCTCCCTGTCGGCAGCCCGGTCGCCGATCCACTTCCGAGAAGTCTCCCAGCAGAGGCAGGGTGAGCCTTGGGCCATTCCTGACATCTTGCCGTGCTGAACCATGGTTGCAGGCTGTCCAGTGGTCTGCACCCTTGCCGGAGCCGTTGGGACTCAGCGCTTCTCATCCTCGGGCTGTTGTGCGTTGTGGTTCATCCTGTTCGGTCTTGTTCGATTCTAATGATGGAGAATCGAGGGGTGCACAAAAACCTCTGTATGAAGATGTTCCTCTACGAGGTGAGGTGTAGCATCCTTCTGGTTTTCTCCCCTTGTCTGTACAGGAAACGACAGATTGCTGGTCTGCGGCATCCAAGTCGAGTGGCGGTATGAGTTGAAAGTTGAAAAGAAGCAAGCTTCTCTATTGCGAGTCCCAGTGTGCAATTCGACATGCCTCCACGTTGGCCAAGGCTTCCCGTCGAACCCGGCTACGATGGCTATGTGGACGAGCGCCCCGGACATATCACAGATTTTTTTGGCACCGTGGCCAGTTGTGACCTTCGCGTTCGGAGGCGGCCAAGCTATGCTGAGCAGCCGCCTGATTCGTCTGGCTACTGGAACGATCCGACCTCCAGGCAGAGAGGGCAGCAAGTCCTAGTAGCAATTATTTACTGGCAGCGGTAGCTTCAAGGCTGTCGATCCTATCTTTCTTGCGTTTCGAAATGTGGTGCAGGCAGCAATACTACGCTGATCAGCCGCCTGGTTCCACTGGCTACTTGCACGAGTCGTCCTCCAGGCGGGCACGTGGAAAATGGCAGGGGCTCAAGGCTCAAGGGGGGGCAACGGCAAAAATTGGACTGCGGCGAAGCGGAACACACGAGGTAGCAAGCAAGGCATTGCGTCTACGAGTACCCAGGTGGATGAGGATCATGGAGCAAGAACAGTTTCCCAGTCCTTAGAGCTCTAGGGATCGTCCGGCCGCTCGTGAACGATCCAGGGAAGTGGGAGGCAACTCCCAACTGCGGTACACATACATGCCACAGTTTGATCATGATACCTGTCGTTGACATGGCAGCCTTTTGCTTGACAACTCCAGAAAGTCCGGTCATGGGCCATTGGCAATCGGGTGCAACATGGATGTGCCAGGTGCAGTGAAGTCAGCTTTGCTTTTCCGCGTTGTGCTTTTCCGCGCGGAATCTTGGCTGTCGCATCTGGTGGAGGCGGCCAAGCTATGCTGAGCAGCCGCCTGATTCGTCTGGCTACTGGAACGATCCGACCTCCAGGCAGAGAGGGCAGCAAGTCCTAGTAGCAATTATTTACTGGCAGCGGTAGCTTCAAGGCTGTCGATCCAATCTTTTTTGCATTTCGAAATGTGGTGCAGGCAGCAATACTACGCTGATCAGCCGCCTGGTTCCACTGGCTACTTGCACGAGTCGTCCTCCAGGCGGGCACGTGAAAAATGGCTCCGAGTTTCTGTTTGTACATATCGGGCCGAGTGGCTCTTTTCCGATGAGGGCACATTGCTCGTGCGTGTGCTGTTGATTCTGTACCGACTCCAGAACACCTTTTGCACGTTTATCTAAGTCTAGGTCAGAGAACAATCCAGGAAATCTGCAGACATTGCTTGGCAGCGCATAGGTCCCAAGCCTCTGGCGAAAGCTGACGAACACAGTCGATCAAATTATTCTGGGCAACGAAATTGCCCTCACACAGCCCGGAAATCAATCAAAACAGGCATTGCAGCGCTACCTAGCCTTGTGCAACATAGCGAGCAGGATCTCCAACACTTGGACCTGCACTTCGTCATGTCGTTGTCTCCGTTTGTCTGTATGTACTTCATCTGGACACTGTTCGCCCTGTCGTTAATTCAACAGTCGCGGACCTTGCATCTCCCGATGCTTTTCTTGATGGTGAGGGTTTTTCAGAGGTATTTGGTAGTCACTTCTGGCTCAGTGCTCAACTTGAGAGTCCAAACCCTACCGTAGCCTTTAAGCCCAACAGCAGCTAGACCTAAACGGCTGGAGCCCCAACCCAAAGTGCCCTTACTTGTATCTGGCGATTCCGAGAACCTCAAGACTTCGCAGCCAGACCTCCAAACCATTCGAAATCTGAAGCTCTAGCAACAGTTTGAGGCTATATGTGTTCACGTGCCATGAATGCGAGCGAGTATGTACAGATATATGATATGTGTATGCAGCTTCCTGGAAGTCTGGACAGGTGTCGCCTCCGTGGCACTTTTCGGGGTCCGTTGTTGTTGCCGGGCTCATGATGGCATCGGGTTGCAACGTTTAAGGAAAGCGAAGAAGAACCAGTATTACACTTGCCCAGGTTCCAAACACAGATTTTTCAAGGACGGGCCTGCAGGACGGAAACCTCGTCCCTGAGCACCTGAACAGTTTGAAGGAGCGTGCATGCCAATGCACGGTCGGATTTACGCCTAACTTCTGCAGCAGATCTGGTGGAGGCGGCCAAGCTATGCTGAGCAGCCGCCTGGTTCGCCTGGCTACTGGAACAATCCGACCTCCAGGCAGCGAGGATAGCAAGTCCTGGTCCTGGCGGCAATGGCTGGCAGCTGTACTTCGGAGAACTCGAGTCGCAGACTTGTGCTAGATGATTACATTTCCAGCCTCTGTGGGACACGACGGGATGGGAAAGTGGCAAGTGAGGCTGCAAATGCAGCTTCAAAAGGTCAATGCTTTCATAGCACTTATCGAGTATCTCATGAATCGAGTGGCATGTGTGCTTGTGTGTGTGTGTGCGTGTGTCGGCAGGCAAGATGCTTCTGCCGACCAGGCGCCCGGGCAAGACGGCTCCTGGCTTGACTCGGCCAGGCAGAGACGGGAAAGGGGATGTGATTTTGATGGCAGAGGACACCCTGGCTCCATGAAAATTGTGTTGTCGGCCAATTGTGCGGTCATCAATTACGTGTGCGTCTGTGTAAAAAGCGTTATATGATCTGCATATGATATACACGCATGCGACCCACTACATGTTCAAGTTATCTATAACCATGGTCTTCGTTTCTGGAGCATGAGCTGGGGACTGAGGGAAAGAGAGACACAGAAGGAGTAAGCGCTGGAGTGAGCGAGAGGCGGAGGGGAGAATCTCTGTTTATGTTGTTAAAGTTTGCGCCATCGGCATTGGGTACAAGCTCGTGAACAGCTCCAATGCCGACCGTGCATCCCCAAGCCCAAGAAGAAAAAAACAGAATGAAACAATCTGAGAGAGAGAGGGGACCAGAGGGGCAGGCCCGGAGAGATGCAGAGAGACAGAACCGAACACAAAGGCCGATGAAGCTGCGGCCTGGGCCCGAAAGCAAAAAGAGCTTGCGGCTTGCGAAGCTTGCGGCAGGTACCCTCCCGAAGCTCCACCGGAGCAAGTCCAGTGGCCCCAGCCGGGCTTCGGAGGCCTCACTGAGCTGGTTTTTCTCTCTGTGTGTGTGTGTGTCTGTTTGTATGCGTTTGTCCTTCTGCACGTAATTTTAACTTCATGACATCGCCACTATTTGGCACCGCTTGCTCTCTGGGCGAACTGGGAAGCCGCTCGTTCATCTGGATGTGTTCGCTATGCCGTGTTCGGCTTTCACACCAGCTTCATCATAACCTGTTTGAACTTTCCCAGTCGATGCTGGTTGTACCCTGGACCAAGCACTTGAGCATTCATGGGTTGAATTGAAGGAGTTCTGCCCGAAACCTGGACACAAAGCATGACTCTCCGGCCCCACACCCCCAAGCCCGAAGCCCACTAAACCCAGACGCAGACCAAGCTCAGAATAAAGCTTGCAGTAGAAAGATGGTAGCCCGGGCGGGCTGGTGCTCATGACCGGGCTGAGCCCTGAGCTGCCGGATGCGGATGGAACCACGGAGGCGCCGCCCCCGGCTCCGGTAAAGCCTTCGAGACAATCAAATATTGCTTCCATCAGATTGATTTCCCCGGCAGCGCTGGTGCCACATTCATGCCACAACACGCTGAGAGCGTTGCAGGCGTCAGAAGTCATGTACGAAGTGGATTTCGATTGTGCTCCAGAAGGTCTGCCCGCGACCGAAGCTGAACTGGGAATCTGCAGAATCCATTCATTGAAACGTGCATCACGCGTATAGACTCGGCTAGCCAGTAGCCCTTCTGATGAACGATGACTCAGCCCGGCATGCGCTTGTACCCGCATTGTGTATGTAGTGTCAGCTTGTTACAGCAACCTCCAGCACAGCCGAGTGCCGTGTGCTCGCGCACACCCAGGTGAGCCCTTCCAAGACGACGGCGGTGCACCCAGGAAAGGAGAAGACCCAGGCCATTGCCTCTGCGTGCAACTGCTGCTCAGTCTAGAGCACCAGGGTTCACGTTGAGCAGCAGATCTTATGTGTGCTGCAGATCCCCATGCCGCACGGTCTTTGTAGCCAAAGTCTGAAGTCCCGAACTTTGACGCAAGGCCTTTGGGTCTACCACACGGAAACAGGAACCGGAGAATGAGGACGAGGAGGACGAGAAGCCAGACGAGACCCTTTTCAGCATTGGCGGTGGTGATGTTGTGGCCACGTACTGCATTATGGAATGCAGCTGCATTATCGTATTTCTCATTCAAAGCGTGCCTTTCATTCCTGGTGAACTCGTTGAATATCAGCAAGAGCAGCGATGGACTACGCTCGTATTCGGTTGTTTTGGATCCACATGAGCTCGTCCTGGCCAATGGGCCAAGACGCAGATCAAACTTCATATCTTCAATCTTTAAGCGCGTGAAAGTGTCGGAGCCTCCATGTCTCACGAGAGTGAGAGAGTGAGCTGTAGCAGGCACTAAGCGCCATCACTTTGGGTCGGGTCTGTCCTTCCGTGTTCACTTCGTGACAGTGAGAGATGCGCTGGGCAGCGCGCTTGTGCACTGAATTCGGCGCTGCAAGGATTAGAGGATTTCCGAACTGTTGGCAGTACCACAGTTGTTGTCAATTGTTGTCCGAAGCAGGTCCTGACTCGTGTTTTGTCGGGCTGAGATTTGCTTCTATGATTCTATGTCTTTACGCGGACTCCTATATTTGCCGCTGTCCGAGCCCAGGAAGCGCTTCGGAGGGTTCCCGTCGCAACTCTTCGAAGCCTGGCGCCTCATCATCCGTCCACCGCGGCGGAGGCGCTGGGCGGGAGATGCAGAAGTCGGAGCTTTCTTGAGAGCGAATGCTTCCGCTAGTAGTAGAGCGGTGCTTGCATCACTACTGCGAGGTATCCAACGAAGTCCTTGGGCCCATCTGCCCTACAGGTGCCTCGGGTTCCAGCACCGAGAGTCGAAGCATGAAAGCGCTTTCGCCGCTGATGAGGTGATTCTCCCTCGATACGACGAGTCTCGCCGTCTAAGCCAGCCGTTAGAGCGGCATGACCTTGCGCCTTTGCTGCCTTGTGCCGATATGGCTTTTTCATGTCATGAGGCTAAGAAGAACGCTCGATGACTGCCGTGCTTTCCCCAAGGAGCTGCAGAACAAGCAGGGCCTGCGGCTCCAGTGTGTCTTGGATGCACATGGCCTGAAGGCGGCGCTTGCAGTTTTTGCGTTAAGTCTCCAACAGTACAGGGCGTGGTGAGTATGGTTTCGTCTGACGAACATGGTGTTGGCGGCATTTGCTACACTACTTGGGCTGTCCCCGAATCTGGTGCCACCGTGCCGCGAGCATGTGCCCTGACGGTGTGGTGGCAAAGTGTGGGCCTTTGGGGGCAAGCATACGACTGCCTAGACTCTCCTAGACATTGAGAAGTCTGCTTTCTCTGCCGGGGTTCTGTTTGAGTGTCCCATCTGAGCTTGTTTGCGCTGACGGGACACGACACCGCGGGCTGAAATTGGAAACCTTACAGTTGCAGGTAGCCACTTCCGACCAGCTGCATGCACCGGACGAGTTCCTTGCGTTGCTCGGTCCTGATGGAAGCACATGGACGGTCCAGCAGGACCAGCATGTGATGGTGGAAGATGTCCGTCTTGTCACTTGTGGCCTCGCAGGTGATATTCTGTCATGGCAGCAGCTCATGCCGCGTGGATGCCTTCCAGGTCATGCCCTGGCTCTTCGAGCAGCTCAGAGTTAGACAGAATTCCGTTGCGCAGGGCAGCCATGCAGGCCTCAGGCGTCTATGGCCTATGGCACCTTTGCCATCCTCCGAGGTACAAGCTTACTGTTTTTGCGTTTGACTTCTCGGGCTCCGGACAGTCTGATGGCGAGTACGTGACGTTAGGCTACCATGCGCCTTCGACTGAAATCGCAGTTTCCTCTGAGGCTTCCGTTTTGTATATCAGCCCGGAGCCTGCAAGGAAGAAGATGACCTGCGTGTCGTCATCGACTATCTGGTGAGCACCGGTCAGGTCTCGAGCATTGGCCTGTGCCTTGCCCGTACGTCAGGAAGGGCCTGTGAGAAACAGGGTGGATGCATGTAGAACCGCAAAGGAAGGACCCCAAAGGGCGAGGCATCCGGAACTCAGCCACCTCAGCCGGACAGCGCTATCGAGTCGCGGGTTATCCGCGCAAGAGATCGCAAGAGCAGATGGGATTTTCGGGTGTAGGATGGCCATCTATGAGTCAATGAGCACCGCTTGCCAAATCTTGCTCAGGTGGGGAAAGTCCATGGGCGCTGTGGCTGCTCTTTTCCGCACTGCGAGGGATCGCAGAGTGGATGCGTGCGTGCTGGACAGGGCACGGCGGTCGTAGGCTTCACCCATTGCTGATACATGTACACATGCAGACATACATGCAGCAATTCAGCCGGCCATCCGTGTTTTATCCAGTCAGTGAGGGGCTCAGTCGCTCGTTCAATCGTTCATGCACTCATTTTGCTTCGCACCCACATAATCGGACGGTATGGATAATCTTAAGATTCTTACATACAGTGTTATCTGCTCCGCTGTTTACACATACACAGTCACACATGTGCACATGCATACAGTGTAAACCAACAAAGCACACGCACACACGCACGCACGCACGCACGCACCCACCCGCCCACCCACCCACTCATCCACCCACCCAACTTTCCACCCACCCGCCCACCCGCGCACCCACCCACGCACCCACCCACGCANNCACCCACACACACCCACACCCACACCCACACCCTCACCCACACCCACACCCACACCCACACCCACACCCACACCCACACCTACACGCACACACACACACACACACACACGCACATGCACACCCACACCCACACCCACACGCACACGCACACGCACACGCACATGCACACGCACACGCACGCACCCAGAACGTGTCATGGATAGATAGGTAGGTAGGTAGGTAGGTAGATGCATAGATAGATAATGTAATTAGGTGTGCATGCATGCATATGCACATGCAGCCATCTACTTATATGTGCATTACGTATGCGTGTCTATGCATGTCTTGATTTAGTCTTCGGATGTCTCTCTGTGTGTGTATGTGTGCGTGTATGAAAGATGTATGTAGGATGTGTAAAGACTATAAAGACCCGATATGAAGGTATGAAAGCATATATGTATGTGTGTATGGTATGGTATGGTATGGTGTGGTATGGTATCGTATGATCCATATGGTGTGGTATGGTACGGTATGGTCTGGTATGGTATGGTATGGTATGGTATGGTGGTATGTAGGTATGTAGGTACGTATGTATGTATGTATGTATGTATGTATGTATGTGTGCAGGTAGGTATGTGCGAATGTATTTTGGTACGTTTTTTGTACATATGTATGCATGCACGCGTGGATGGATGGATGGATGGATCGATGCATGGACGGATGAATGTATGGGTATATAGTATACAGTATATGTTGCAATTTCCACAGACACATATATGCGACTAAGTCGGTTTACATGTACTGTCTATGCGGTTCCCATTCTCAGCCAGGATTCCCCGTTTGCAGACTTCAAAAGCGTCGTCCACGACTATTGCACCGAGACGTGTCCCGGATTCGAGCAGTAAACACTGTACCCGAAAATGGCAGCAAGACTCTGGCCGCCATCTCCGAGCCTGAGTTTGCTCTCGAACAGCGCAGGTCCTAGGTGCTGCAAGCTGCTTGGTGGTTCTGATTCTGGCGCATCCAGGTCGGCACTGCAATGGGTCCCAGCTACGTTGGTCGACTTCTTCCTGGCCCGTGTGAGCTTGGCGGTGCAGGAGCGCGCAGCTTGGAAGCCTATTCTTGTTTGGAGCACTTTCGGTTTTTCGAACCAGGCAAGCGTATAACTCGTGTAACTGCTCACAGAAGGCCCGCACCCCATGTCTGCCAAATTCGCCAGCCGATGCACAAATTTCACTCAGGTGGGCCTTGACCCCCGCTGCCTGCAGCCCAAAGAGATGGCACCACAGTGCCACTGCCTCTAGGAACGAAGTTAGAGGGCTAACCGTGGTCTGCGCGGGGTTTTACCCTAGTGCATGGTCGAAGGTCGAAATGTTCCTACCATTGAGAAGCCGAGTTAAAGGTCCAGCTTTCTTCCTGGTGGGCGAGAGTGACCGTGTGGTACGGCCGCAGCAGGTCCAGTCCTTGCATCAGGCACCTGTCCGACGAACAGTCATGAACGGGACAGGACTTGCCAGTGTGCCATTGTGCCTCCGACAGGTCATTGCAGTCAGTGACGCACTTAGACTAATCAGACTACGGGGCCTTACCTGGGTGCGTACTGGTTGCCGGAATCAACACGGCTCGCAGGGCAGTGACCCAGTCGCATGCGGGTACACCATTTTTTGACATACTTCGTGAACAAAACATTGACAGTAATTGGCAGCTGCATTTGGCCCTGACCTGCCGAGTGCGGGCGTCGGAGAGGGTTGGAAAACAAATTTGGCATCCAGAAGCACTCCGGAGGCCTGGGGTGGCGAGAGTCAGCTGGCGACCTTTACAGGTGGCCACAACACCGACAGGCACCTCGGTTGAGGATTCCCTTTTGAGTGTCGACTCGTGATCTAATCTTTTCCAGTCGTAAGCTCGGGCCAAACCTTTGGCCGAAAATGGGGTTGTCGCATCGAAGGCCGTCGACAGTCCTGGAGCAAGCAGCCCAGTTCATGTGGGACACTTTCCTGCACGTGATGGTAATGTTTTGGTACCTTGGCCCATTCTGGGGCAGACCCCCAAGCCAGCAGGTTGATCCTGAAGATGGGATGTTCTTCAAATTGCTCGGTCTTGTCCCTATTCGCAGATATCAGATGTCCCACACACCGTGGCTCAGCCATCAACTAACAGCAGGCCAGCTCAAAACATACCATAAGTTCAATGCCATGTAATTACAAGAAAGCTCGCCTCTGAGGGCTAGCGATGGCTCGGGGAGTACCTGAGGGGTGCGGAGGGGTAGTTTCGGGGCGGATGGATGGGCAGGGTGGCCCTATGATGGGCACCCACCCCGGTTCGATTGAACGCAGACAAAAGGCATTCAAAGGAGAAGCGTGGAGGCAATGATGCTGATGATGCTGGGTTCCCGGCGTGTCAAGACGGGTACAGGGGGCTTTGCAGGCTGCAGGGGTGCCAACAAGCATGCTTCCATCTTCTGCGCCCAATTCCGCCATGTCTCATGTTGCTCTGGCTTAAGCCCTAAACCTGACGCCAAGACGGGTCATGAGTCATGAGTTTATTGGTTCTTTGTCGGTGACTTCACATTGATTACGAACTGGAGGGGGCGATCCAGCATCCCAACGATTCGCTGTACGTACAGCTAAAATCCCATAGCTGCGTTGTTTGCATTCGAAGCTTTAGCTGTCGTCCCAGTCCCCCGGCAAGTTCGTGTGGAGTCTGGAGTCGAGGCGTTTTGGCGGGGAAGGGCTTTTACTCGTTTTTTCTGTGCCTCAAAGGAGTCTTTGCGGAGTGCTGCTGAAGCAGATGCCCTTCTCTGCGGAGCAGTGGATGCCTTCCTGGCCCTGGACTCAGCCTTATGAGCAGCTCCAGCTCGTATGAACTCGTATGGTCGCTATTTTGAGTTTCTTGTTTGAGGACAAGCCGCCCTCTCGACTCAACGAGCTCAATGGGCTTGGCCTGCTTGGGCAGGCAGGGCAAGGACGAAATGGCCCAAACCTCACGTGTGCATGCCGTGCTTTTGCAACTGCCTCCTGCAGCCTCGAAACATCAGACTGGATCCATGCTCGGAGTTTGAGGCACGGATCGCTCAAATGTGCTGGCGAATGTGTTACAACTATAGCTATAAGTTGCCCACGAGGGCTAAAATGGCTTCTGAAATTCCCGCAAGTCCGTCAATTTAGCAAACTGTACTTTAACTGGGCATTACTCATTACAGCATGCCTCTGCAGTCTCAGCAATTGGATTGTCCTTGCTGAGGGCCGCGCTACAGCATGGGCGCGTTTGCAATTCCGTGGAGAAGAGTTCTTGCAGCCAGGAAGACGACATGCTCGCTGCCGCGGTCGAGCAGTACGTCGAGCAAAGAAGCTCACATGCTATAATTTATATAAATATATAAAAGCTTTCCGTCGTTCGAACAGCGCCTTGCGCAAAGGTGTGACGTAGCGCCACGCTCTTCAGGAAAGGGTAGTTGCCTCTGCACGTGGGGCCGGCCACGCAAGCGTCGCCATCAAGGCCTGCATACTAAAAGCTCCGTCGTTCACGCCGTCACAGAGTATCACGTCACTGACGCCAAGTGATCACAGAAGCTTTGTATCTGTTTTCATGGGCCATCGGTGTGACCCGTTGGCTACATCTATGTGGCCAAATCCAAGTGGCAGGTTCGCACACGAACGATTGGGGGTGGTGATCGTCGGTCATGGGGGTTAGAAGTAAACACAGCATTCAGATAGCAGCTACAGCAGCTACAGTACTACAAATGCCGACAAGATGACTTCTGAGATGGTTGTCAGGCCGCTTGCCAAACCTGTCGCACCGTGGATCAAGTGACTCCGCATCACCAGAACGCGGTCTGGAGCCGAACCGAGGACAGTCTCTGAATCGGGCAATTGACCATTTCCTCCTCCGAGGCGCTCGGTCACCTTGGCGTTTCGCAAGTAGCAGCCACGACAGCCCGTAAGGCACCCAGCCCCTGTGCGAGACTTTGAACAGGTGGAGCGCCGCCAAGCGCTACGCCAGTGTGGCAGCACCTGGCACAGAGCCACATTGTGCAGGACCCCGGTCCTAAATGGCTTGACACTGACTTTGGAGTGCCGCAATACGTGGCTGCCACATATTTTCCAGGTTTGGCTGCAGAAGTGATGAACAATGGGCAAGCGGTCCGAAGTAGAACTGACACGCGCTAACTAATTACCACAGAACATGCGCTGCCAGTTTCCGGCGTGGGACTTACACCGGATCAGGTTTTCTCGAGGCCGTTGAAATGTCGCGCAGTGTCGAAGATTGGCTTGTTCCTCCTTCTGCACCGTAAGTTGCTGGAGCTGGACCGGGCCTGACGCCACCGAGCTTGCAGGCCATGCCGGTGACCTCAATGGCGGGCCGCGCAGTCGGCACCCGAACATGGCAGTTTGGCCGCCCGCGTTGATCGTGGGCCCACAGAATGTGTTGCTGGCACCCGAGGTGGTTCCTGGAGATGGCGACAGTGAACTCTTTTCAGTTTAAAGAGGGCTTTGCTGGATCTCATGAGGATCCAGATGTTGCGCGCATAGTTGAATCATTTACTTTAGGAGTACACAGCAGTCTCGAAACCGAGCGCCAAGCAGTAGGCACAGCCTTGAAATTCTTGAGGCTGTTCCATGACATGGTTCAAGGGTTCCTATTGGTTGGATCTAGTCTTTCAAGTCTTGCAGAACAAGAGTGGTATGCTAAGGATGAGTCCGAAGCATCCCCTGAATCATATTGTGGACTCAGAATTCGTAATGTCAGCAGACTCAGGGACAACGGGGCAGACATCCCGGAACTGCTCAATTGGTCTCTAGCTCTTTGCCGGGAGGTCTCTCCAGCTGCCCTTGAACTTCTTGCCAGAGCAAGTTCTGTCACGAATACTCGGTGCTCAAGCCTGGGCTGACGTATCGGTCTGCCCTGGCGCTTTTCATGTACTGTCTCCAACCACATTCGTCACGGAAGCTTGTGGAAGTAGATCAGGGGCTTAGAACAACGGGCCAGAATGTGTTTGCAACGCGATTGGAGCCGTGCTCTGCTAGAGTTGCCGAATCGCACCTGACCTCGACAGCGGCAACTGCCTGCTAGTCTAGGAAACAAGTGCCTGTGCCTGCGTGTGCCTGCGTGCCTTCCGACTTAGAGGCCCTAGAGAGAGCCTCGGAGAGCCGAATCCTTTGAGGGTCAAGTTGAGTCTTTGTCGCCCAGACACGCGGGAGCTGCAGCTGCCATTCCCGGCCGAGGTGGTGGACAGGGAATCTGGGTGAGCATCTGCACTGCGAGGGGATCTTGCGTCAGTCTGCGTGGAAGGGGGCGAAAGAAAAGAAGCGGAAGAAAGACAAGGGCAAGAAAGAGAAGAAGCAAGCGCCCAAGAGCGAGTCAAACAGGTGTGATTGCTCTTCCTTTCGCTGCATGCCGCACACGTGTTTGCGTGGTGTTGCATTTGCTCCAGTGTCGTGCCTTCGGTGCATGTCGTGTCGATGTGGCGCCCTAAGGTCAGCTCGCCAGCCAGAGACTGCTGATCCCTGGGCGAGCCCAAACAGCGCCTCAGCTGCATCTCAAGCGCTTGTCTCCAGGAGTTTATCCATGCATTGCCTCTTGTCCACCGCGTTTTTCAGGTGTGGTAGAGGATCTCTCAAGGATTTTGACCGTCTTGGAGCACTGCGTGTGCCGATCAATGGTGAGGTGTTCCAGTGGCCCAAGAGCAGCCCGAGGAGGGACAGAAGATTGAAGCACTCAAGGCCACTTCAAAGCTGACCCACGAGCAAGTCCCACGAAGCTGAATCGACTTCCTATAGCTTCTGCAGAAGAGCCTGCGGCGTTGAGGTGCTTGGTGTTTAGAGATTGTCGGAAAACTCGAGCTGATCATGGCAGGCCATGGGCTTTGAAGAAGCTCGAATTCGCACCTCGGCCTGTGGAGAGCAGGGGCATTCGGCGAATGCCCTCTGATGTGCGGCTCTGAGGACAAGTCCTGGAGGCCGTTGGTGGCAGTGTAGAGAAGGCGGTGCCGGTTCTTTTGGCGGATGAGTAACTACGCAGCCCAAGGCTGTAGTAGCATCTGGAGCTTGTTGAAACCTCTGTCGAGGGCAGGCGGCGCACAGAAATGTTTTTGATGTGCACTGTAGTACCAAAGCACCTCAGCAGAAGATGTCGACCAGAAGTCCATCATATGCTGTATCCGACAAGCCGGCGTTCTGACACAATATTATTGTGCATTCCAACGCCCATGCCGCTCGATGCCTGCGTTGCAAAGTAGACGCCGGAACGAGGATCAAGCGATTCCACCACACTCTCTGGTTTGATACTCGGTAGCTGCATGGTCAAGACTAATATATACATTTGCTCCGCGTTATTTCCATGTGCTTGTGGTGTTATCTCTTGTGCTGTTGGCGGCAGCCGACGTAGTGGTCAAATGAAGTGATTCCACGAAAACAGGGCCGGGCTCGACTTTGGCACTCAGCCAGCTTTGGCTTGGGATCGACGGCAGCACCACTCCCATGAAGTGTTTTCGAAGTCCAACATCCCTCGTCACCCCTGTCTCATAAGCTTTTACTCCGGCTGTTGCACCAAAGCCCCAACTAGGTAAATAAGACAGCAAGATCATGAATCCGGCATGGAGTACTCGCATCAACAGAGAGGAAGTAAAGGAAAAAGAGCACTTGCCGTTTCAATGTCCCATCGGCACAACCTCCACTCATCATGTGCTGGTAGAATGAATCTTCTTCCGTGAAGGTCCAGCCGAAGGGAGTGCTCTGTGCTCTCTCGATACCTTTCTTTCACACGTGATTGGCTATTCTACCTCTTTCAGGTGCGTAACGACCCGAGGGCAGAAAAGACCGGTGGGTTTCCGAATGCTGGGTGTAGCAGTCTCAGTGTGCTGTGATGCAGCTTAGAGTTGAGGGTCGTCAACAGCCCTTCCAGGGTAAAGTTAAGGCACATTGAGACCACCTACATCGCAGACAAGATCCGCAACAATCGTGGAGTTCTGCCTTGTTCGCCCACAACTCACAATTCCTGTTTGACACAAGCCCTGCAAGCAAGCAAGTCCATCGGTTCAACGTTTGACCTTCTTGAAGTCTTAGACACACCCACCTAATGCTGATCCCTACGAAGTTTTTGATCAGGGGGTGAACAAAACAGCTGCCTCCAGCTACGCAGCAGGGTCCTCGGAAGTTCATTTCGTGGGGCTTCATGGGAACTGAGTGAGGATAGCACCCAGACTGTTGAGGGTTGCTGGCAGTGCCGTCGAGATGGAGGCTTGCAAGGGCAGTAACCTCCAGTCGCTGTGCTAAGGGAGATCTCCTCTGGATGAACGGATATCGGTTGCGACGGCTTCTCACTTGGATCGCTGGGGACTTATAGTGCAGAAAGCATGACTCAAGTCACGAAAGCTCCGGGTCCCCATCAGCTTGGCTCCGGGGAGGTAAATCTTTCCGAGCACTTATGCCAAAACCAACAAGCAGAAACCAAGGCTTCCATGCAGAAAACGACTCTTGCCCGATTGTGGGTTTTTGAGTTCTCTGGAAACATAGCTCCAGCAGGTAGGGCTTGTCTTGGGATGTTTGTAAACCGCCGTGATCGAAGACTTTGAGCAGTACAGTCAGGTGAGCAGGGCTCATGTTGAACTGACGGTATAGGTGCACTGCCAGTACCAAGGCTTCTGGCAACGAATCATTGGTCAGTTGACCGGCACTGTTGTTTGAGTTTCTGCTGTTGCCACACGCGAGTGCAAAAGCGAGCATCACCATTGCCCTGGCCCTTTTCCGACGCCGCGGCACGTGTGCGGAAAGCTATGATCCCGCGCAGAAGCAGTGTCTCCGATGAGGTGTGCAAGGGAGGTGTGTGTGTGTGTGCGTGCCTGCAGCTCAGCTACTGTTGGTTCGCACTCGTGCTGCAGTGTCGCTGCAGGTCGTTGACAACGGTGTTTAGAGGCCTCGGCGAGACAAAAAGTCGGAAGCCGACAGGGGCCATGTTCAAATGAAGCCTGCTGCATTTCAGATCTACCGGTCCTAGGTTTCGTTTCGCAATGAAATCTGACATCAAAGTCGAAATAATTCAACTGCCCTTTGGTGCAGTGAAACCATGTCCATGTCTCACTTGAAGCATCGCGCAAGCCCATAAGTGGCTTTGGGGGGGCCGCAACATAGGCGAGAGAGTCCCGGTAGATAAAGCTGTGCAGAACGAGAGGGACCACAAGCCCGATCCCTTTGACTGAGGTGCCAAAGCTAAGATCTCCGTGTCCTGCTTGTACCCTCGGTTACACCCTCCGCCCAGACTCCGAGGCTCAGCCTCAAGGGCTCGTAGCAAGCCGAGGAAAGAGAACCTCAGGCAACCTCAGGTGAGTCCAAAGACGTCCAAAGTGAGGAGAAAAGGAAGGGAATCATAACTAAGGCTCTTTGCTGTGCAACGCATTTTGCTCCTTTCCACCAGGTGCTAAATGTTTGCACAGACTAGACCGGACTGCAGAGCAGGCACACACCGCCAGGGCCTCGCACAGCCATGCGGTTCAGAAGCAGCAGTTGCAGCTTTCTCCAGAAGTCCGTACCAGAGAGGAAGTTCAAGAAGGAATCCCGATCACGAAGGTCAGTTCGCGAGCTTGGGCCCAGTCCAACTTAGATACAAGGAAGCGGTAGCCACAAACATCAGGAGTGTACATTGAATTTATCCGGCTATGGACGAGACGTCCAAATCAGCCGCTGGCGTCTCTGTGCTCGCGGACGGCTTGGCTGTCTCACATTACGTAGAAGCGTTGGAGGCGGGCAGACTGCAGAGAGGCCCAGATTTAGGGTTGGGCCTTGGCTCCATGCGTTGGTAGGCACGGACCCCAAGGAGCCCTCGAAAGACTGGACAGGCAGGGGCAAAGCGTTCGTCTTCTGTGGCCAGGTGCCTGTAGCCTGTAGGCACTGGAGGCTCCCAGAGAGGTGGCCGCGGACGTCCAGGATGTTACGGAGGCTCAGGTCAGAATGCTGTGTTTTTCCCGTCTATGTCTTTCGTGCACCGGAGTGCAGTTAAAACAGATCCCACTGTCTTTGATTTAAGAAGCAAGAGGGGGCAGCAGACACTTGCACAGGGCACCGCGCCAGACTCCCCGCCGAAGGCGGAGGAAGTTGCCAATGCCGGTAGATGAATCGATGCACTGGGCTGAGCCCTCTGTGAACCGCCAACAGGATCCTCTCCAGTTTGGAGCTGACCTGGAATTGGAGCTAGACTCGTTAGAGGCTGCATCTTGGCGGCGAGATCGGGTGACTGGGCTTGGGATGCCTTGAATGGATGGAGTTTTATGGATCTCTGAGTTTTGGCAGAGTCTGGGTCTAGCAAAATAGATCTCTGAGTTCTTTGAATTGACAGCTAGGGCCGTTGAGCGACATTTGAGATTGACTTGCATGGACATGCGCTGGCAAGTGGCATGTCATGATGTCATGTGATGCGGCACAAAGGCAGGGCCGAGGATCGCACTCCCTGCCCCTGCCGAGCGAGCCGACAGGCGCGGGGCAGACGTCATCCTAAGTGTTTGATCTTGAGTCTCCGGTTTATTCGGGAGATCTGTCTAAGTATAGGCTATGTGCCCTAGCTTGGTCGAGTCAAGAAGTTGTTGCGCCTCGGGCATTGAACCGGATGTCCGGACCAGGACTGATGCGGAACAGGAGGCCTCTCCGAACGATTTCTGCCGCGCCGCTGCAGACAGTGCAGTTTGAGTGGGACGTGCCCCCCGTCCTAGGCAGGCGCTTTGAAAGGCCCACTTGAAGACGGGTTCGCAGCGAGGTCTGAGTCCAGTTGCCGGGACGGGCTATGCTGCGGCAGGCTCCCACTGCTCTGTTTTACTACATGAGGTTTGCGCCACCCGCTCTGAGGGTGCGGTCCGGTCTAATGCCAGGCTTCACGAGCCTACACTCGCTGAGCGCCGACCTGAGCCCCGTGGCCTGGGCCCGGCGAGGCGCGCGCGTTCAGCAACTCGCGAAGCCTTGCCAATGATTCCGAGAGCTGGCAGATGAAGAGTTCCAATTCAGCCCCGTGGTGCTCGAGAGCCTGGCAGGCCTGGGCCTGAGCTGTGCCTTCGCCAAAAACGAAAGCCGACAGCAATCCCTCTTCGCGAAGGCGTGCAAGAGACAGACCCTCCGAGCGAAACGGCAGATGCTTCTGCCCAACCGCCGCGGCTGCCGTGGCCCCAAAGTTCTGAAAGACATTTGATCTTGACCGAGTCAGGCATAGCACAGATCCGGTTCCAGTTCTGTGGTTGTCCTGAGATTCAGATTTGAGAACTCCTGGGAGCAGGCGGTTGTGCCCGTGACAAGCCCAAGGACGAGTCCCCAACGGAACACCGCACAGTCGTAGGCGTTTGTCGAAGCTTGAGTCAGCTTGAGCTGAGCCTCAAGGCATGCTTTGACACCTTGCAACGTCGGCAGTGCGGCTAAGGCCCAGCTTGGCGCTAGCCGTCTCTTTTTCGGAGTGTTTTTTTTGTCTTCCTGTGGTCTGTTTCTATCCTGGTCCAGGGGTTTCTGCTAGACGGAAATCTACCTAAATCATGCTGGATCCAACGGCGTTAATCGTATTGCAAGACTACGGAGACTTGCTCATCCAGAAGACCGCAAAGTCCGGCTCGAAGAAATTGTCAGAGTGACGCTTGGCGGGCCGTGTTGAGTTGGCCATGTCGTATGGACAGCCGGAGTAGGCACTGCTGTAGGCACGCTGGCTTCTCATTGGCACCCGGGAATCGGGGTGTCTCTCTAGTGCTCGACATGCATTTGATCATTTGACTTGCTGCCTGCTGGCCTTCTTCAGTTGTGATGTGCAGTGCGTGGGCCCTGCGCGTCAACGCTGTGACGAGGCAGTCGTTGAGCTCAAACCCGACAAAAGCCACCGCTGAAGCTATGCTGTGAGCTATCGTTTTGGTTTAGCATAGTTTTCGTTTTGTCAAGCTTCCCCATCGAACTTGTGCTTTCACAGCCGCTGCTGAGCAGGAAATCAAGCGAATGGTTCTGCAGGTTTTCGGTAGTGGGGCAGCTGCATTCTGCGATGGAGAAGGCGGAGGCTCGCTCCCTCGTGGAGCGATGCTTGCCACGCTTTAAGGATGCGGGGCTGTCGGCTCCGGATGGCATCACGGACGTCAAGGCCTTGGACCCTTGCTGAGGTGCATTTCAGCTGCCCCTGTCGCAGGTAAGAGCAATCGCGTCTCTGTGGGCTGGAATGGGCAGTGTGTATGACCTCGCAGTGGCTTGGTCAGAAGCATAGGCCAAGCGATGTCGTGAGCATTTTCAAGATTCCAGCATCTTCGCTAAAGCAAATTTGTTGCCGTGCCTACCAGGTGAGCTCCAAGAACGGAATCCAGCATGTTGTGGCCAAGCGTGTGCAGCTTCCGAAGCGGTGTGACAGCATTGGGGACCAACGAAAGAAGGCATCAGCAGTGCTTCGACATGGCAAGTTTCAGTACGAGTAGGAATTCTGCCCGTTGCTGATGCGGCAACAAGTATAGCACCGTGATACGAAAGAACACGCGGTAGGCCGGTCGTTCTCGTTGCTTTGCTGGGTCGGCACGACGCGTGCCATGCCTTCGGACCAGATTCTGTGACAAGAAATGCCAGGACAGCTACGATGTGGAGGCTGCATTCTATCAGAAGGCAAGTGTTGCCCTCGTCCATGAGAAGTATCTGCGAAGTCATTCCAAATGACGGGCATGCATCACCAAGCGAAGTGAATCAGATATGTTCTTCTAGTAACCCATTACACAAGCCAGCCTCGAATTGCAGGGACATGCGGAACGGTTGATTTCCGCGGGCTGCATGGTGCCTTTCCCGCTGCACGTGGAGCACTCACGTGGCGAGGGAGTGACCATCTGTATGACGAAGATGGAAGGCCGAGCGATCTCTTGCCTTTTGAGGCCCGAACCGTTTGTCTTGAGAACTCCGGAGGCAAGCCGTCGCATCCTCGAGGGGCAGAGGCCTTCGTCTCATGGCTCGCGCGTCTTCATGCGCGCCTTGCTGTGAGTTCCAAAATCTCATCGGACGATCACCACGGAACAGCTGTAGGTCTGCATAGTTCATGTTTGTGGAACCGTGTGGAAGTGCGTCACATGACTTTCCGGACAGCCTGCCAAACGTGCCGGGCCGAGGACGTACTGGGGCCGAAGAGCTGACGAAGCCTGCGGAGACTTGGCATGGGGAAGAACTTAGCCTCATTGGCTCACCGTGGCTCTCACCTGGAGACTTCAAGATTCTTGATGCATGCAGGCCAAACGAAAGCTAAGGTAGCTAAAGCATCGCCGAAACCGCCACCTCGCCACTTTCACCTCCAACGCCACAACCTACCAGGTAACTACCGGCACCACAGCATCACACGCGAGAATGCTTCTCAATTTCTCGCTGCTGGAGAAGCTAAATCAGATGAGCAAGCCGAAATGGGTACTTGTAGTTCAGGCCAGATCGCTCAAGTACTGCACAAAGAGCATCGTAAGAACACGGCAATAGGTTACGCGAAGAAACAATATACTGCAGAACACATGGCGGAGACGAGTCGCGCATCGTGATGCTGAGATTGTGTTTCCCGCTGTCCTGCGCTAGTTCATCGACTTCTGCAGGCTCTGATGCAGGCGGATTGCAGCTTCAGGGGCTCCGCGGCAGCACTATCACTAGCACGCGTAGCTTGGGCCTTGAAGCTTGCGCCCGAGACCATGGCCAGTCTACCTGTCGTTTCAGGTGCTATTGGCACTTAGACACGCGACCCGACGAGCACAGGCAAGATGGACAGTCTCTATGGTGGAAGGCAAGAGACAGAGCTTCATATGGTTGGTCGCGAGGAAGATGCCCTCCTCCGGCTGGATGGGCCGCCTCAAGCTGGGTGCTCGGGCGATTGACCTCAGGCTCAAGGCAGCTACTTGGTGTGACATGTTTGCGCAACTGCTCATACATAGAGGTACTGCATTGATTCTACGCCTCTTCACAGTCCGATGCTTTGCATGAAGTCTTCAGTGATATTGTCCTGAGTGAGTGTTCTGTAATTCTGCACTGGCTGGCAGCCAATGTTTGCCATCCGATGATGGTTTCGGCATGACGTGACGAAACCGCCTGAGAGGCTTGAAGTCAATGCCCCACTGTCTATAGTTTTTGGCCAGACATTTCAAGCAGCCCCTTTTTCACCGAGGACCCTTTGCAGTCCGCATCTGTGCAGCAAGAAGTGCCCTGTTAGTTCTGACAGAGCGCGGACTGGACAAGGTCTGCCATGGTGATGCCAAGGGTGCAAACATCCTTTATGCCAGTGGGGGAAGGAGGACAGGGGCAGAATGTTGGAATTCTGCATCTGATGGCTCCATTTTTCTCCTGCGCTGGTGACGAGCCTCATGCAGACGGAGTTGAGCAAAGTAGATTAGATGTCGGCGGAAACGTGGGGCCCATGGAAGCACGAAGGTTGATGTAGTTGGAAGGTGGTTGGTCGGCGCCTATGCATTTTGACGCAGATTTAAGGGGGGTGGGGGGGGGGGGGGGGCGTCTTTGTTCAGCTAAAATCCCATGGCTGGGTCCAGGAGTCCTAACATGTGCTTGACCAGACAGTACGCGGCTTTATCCGGCCATGTCCCTCAACTTCATGAGTGGGAGTTTGCTCCTGTCATGCTTACATATGCTTACCATGCTTTGGAGTCCTTGGGTCTTACAGTCGTGTTTGGGCAGTGAAGTGCATGACATCTTCGGTGGCGCACGTGCCCTTTTACAGATGTTAATGTGGCAGCAACATCGTCGAGCAGTTCTGAGTGAGAACGTTGAAGAGCGTCATTAGTTAGTCTTTGCTTGGCGAGATGGCGCGTTGATTGCAGTTCTTTGCTTTAAGGGCATCTTCAGCTTAAGCTTTACCACGTTGTCATCCACAGCTTTTAGAGCAGAGGAGCACAGGGTCCCGCGGTTTCTGGACAAGAAAAGGCCGATCATGTTCTGTTACAGGGAAGTGCCACGCGTCACAGCAGAGCATGCGAAGCGATTTTTCCACAGCTGTGACAAGCCGCAGGAACAATTGAGGAAAGAACTCGGAACTCGAAAGTAAATCTTCAAGCGAGTTAGTTCATTCACAGCACTCGGATGCACTCGGCGTTGAGTGAGCGCGGCTTGAAACGCTGTACATGTGCGTGGATCACATCGTTTCAGTTCATGCGCCAAAATGCATTAGTGCATGTTTTCGGGGTTGTCGACGTGGGGAAGTTGCAGGTGCGAATCATGGCCAAGTATTCTGTGTCAAGTTTCTCTCGCCTTTTTGTCACAGTCTTTTCGTAATTTCCCGTAGTTCAATCCTGATTAGGATCGCTGTTTCGATTTCGTCAGATCCTGTCCTGGCGACTCCGGTCCTAGCGGCTCTTGGCCTTTCCAATGCCAGAGGACGGCACGAGGCTGCAGCATCGCATTTCAACCTGCAGGAGAGGTGATGCCTCTTGTGTATGACTTCCAGTACTGTGGCAAAGCTGCAGAGCCGACCTCAGCCGCATAGCCTGTCCGCATTGTCTTTCGTTTCATTCATTCTGGGCTTCGTATTTGCATGTTCTGATTGCCGATACTTGCTGCTGTCTGTCCCATGCTGCCAGGTCACGAAGGATTTGGAGACTCGACAGCATACATTGATTTGCGTTTGTTGGCCACATCTTGATCCCAGCACGCCTAAGAAAGAGCAGTTCAAAGCCTCACGCCGTATTGAGCAGTGTGTGACAGTTGTTGGAGCGTTCACATTGGAGAGCTTGAGAGAGAGCTGCAATTATTGAAGCAGTATGGGGACACTTCGCAAGGCTTACTTCTTCAATGTGGAAGCACAACCCTCCGAAGCCGAAGAAGAGCGGCTGCTGCGACTCTACCATTCGGAGCCCTTTTCAAAGTTGAGACGCTAACGTCTTCTAATTCTAATGCCACATGTCCGGAGCAGCAGATCTATGGGATTACTGTCAGCTGAGCCGAACATGAAAAGCAGCAGGAGGAAAATCATCGCATCTCCAAAGCCATGCCTTCTGCACTCCCTTGTGCCAGGAGCTGACAAAGCTTCTTGGAGCCCAGGGAGACGTCCCGCCCGAGCTCGCGGCGCTGAAAACCTCGCTGGAGCACCGGGGACGCATTAACACGCCCTCCATCATGGCCAGTCAAGAGAGAGAGAGAGAGAGAGAGAGAGAGAGGGAGGGAGCTTGAAGAAGAAGGTAGAGAACAAGAGAGACAGAGACAGAGACAGAGAGAGCGAGAGAGACGTATACACACACACACATATATATTATATATATATATATATTTATTATTTATTATTTATATACATATGTATGCATACAGAAGTATATATTATTTGTATGTGCACAGACTGTTCATGCATCTACAAAGATATGTACCTATGTATGTGTGTGTGTATGTATATGTATGTATGTATGTATATATATATATACATATTTGGGCTGCATAGTATGCCCCCCGGCATTTCGGCACTGCTGTACATTGGGTTCGCCGATGCAGTGTGCTTTCTGTTCGTTGCTTTGTTGGCTTTGGCCGCTGCCCACAAGACATCACAAGACTCCAGGACAGCCGGGCCAGGGTTAACAGCCTTCCAGAAATTTCGCAGATTAACCGGCACCCGGATGAAGGATCTAATATTCAAGTACGCAAGTATGTTAATCTGTTACTATACGAACCTACTAGTAAACTAGCATATCAAAACTGATTCTGATTTTTATGACAACTACTAATACTAGAATTAGCGAATATTACATTGATATTAAAACCAACATTACGGCTAATACTTATACTAATAGTAGTACTAGTACTAACACTGACATTGACACTGGTGCTAACACTAACACGAACACCAGCATGAACACTACCACTAACATTAGTTTATACTTAAGAAGATTGATATTTATACTTATATTAACAGTAATACTAAGACTAATGCGAATATTGATACTGATATACTAATACTAAGTGTCAACCTCTCGTGCTTGCAACCAGGACCATCTTTCACGGGAACACGTGGGTTCGGAAGTGAGCCCCTAGAGGAGACACATCCAGAGAGTGGCATTGTAATATGACTGCAGAGCCCGCTCATGGAGGTCCATAGCAAGATGAAGCCCCCTTTACGATAATTGCAGGCTTGCACTTTGCGATTGGCGACGCTTTTCGGAGATTGGCCTTGGAGGCAGTGGCCAAGTGTTCAGACAGGAACCGAAGTCTAAAACGTTGGGGCATGTGTGGTGGGCGACGCCCGTTGCATCGACAAGTATGCTTGCTGACACAAGTTCTTTCAATCACACACCAGGCTGGGGCGATGAGGCCAGACATCGAGTGCAGAAGGCGGTCTGATTAAGCAGGGGTGAGCAAACCTGGCTTCATGGCCAAAGCTTGCCAGACTTTCCCAGTGCCTATAAGAGCAGGTCCTCGACCGGCTCGACGGTGGCCGTGCGCTGCCCAAAGAAGAAGCCTATATTGACGCGATGCAAAGGGAGTACCCCGTGTGAGCATCGAAAAAAGCGGTTCTGCAGAGTTGGGTAGGTTGTCTTTCGCGTTGCGTCCTTTGCTTTGTCAACCTGGAAGCATGGGGCATGTCAGCTCTTTTTAACTTCCAATTGCCGCCAGGCATCACGCAACTCTCGACTTCGTTCGTTGACACCGTGGCTCGGCTTGGCCTGTGCTGCATACCATCATTCACGATTTTCCAAGCTAGTGATATTAGGACTACAGATCCATGTCAGTTGGCCTCCAACATCTGACTAAGAAATCTCTTTTCCCTTTACAATCTAATCTGGGATACGCATTTATGAGTTCAAACCACACCGAACTTGAGTCTGCAGCATCGGACACCCGACAAGCCTTTGCTTTGCCACTTTGCCTTTGTTCTGTGCAGCACACGACAGGCCGACCCAGCGCGAGGCTGAGCGCGTTGCCGAGTCGGAACGCTGAGCACAACCGTTCGGGTTGAATAGCTGAATCCATCCGAAGGGAATCCTCCGATAAAATTGGAACGATACAGACAGAGAAGATTAGCATGGCCCCTGCGCAAGATGACACGTACAAATCGAGAAGTGTACCAAGCCAAAAAGGTCGCTAATCAACCATGATGAGTAATTATACTGTAGTGTTTTCCCTATACAATGCTTGTATCTTGTTGTAATGTTGTGTAGACCGAGGGCTTTAGCTGTGTGCCTCAAATATTTCCTGATGCCTGGGGCAACTCTCGTTGCTAACGTCTCCGGGCACTTGCGGCAAATCAGGCGACGAACGATGATGCTGACGGCTCCAGTGACAGTGAGGTGCTGGAGCTGGTCGAGCCAAGCTCCAAGATGTCTCGTATATGAGACCGCAACCCGGGAGCTGCAAAACGGTATCATAACCCTCGGAAGCTGTGGCAAGCTGGGCTCTTGATTTCGGGATGCTTCCGGCACATCTATTGTGATTGCCGAAGGTCCTCAAGGCTTCTGACTCAAGAGTTAGTTAGTCACAACGAGGATGTCTCCTGCTGTCCGAAATGCCCACCATGGCCAGGTGAACTTTCGAATCATTCGAATTCATGTTGTCACATTTTTGCATCTTCTTGCATGCTGTTATCAGGCATGCCATTGTATTTGTTGTGCCGGCGTTTGTTGTGATGATTGATCAGTGACAGCCAAAGCAGACTGCGTGGCCACAGAAGCGCTGTCAGTGAACACAGGGCTCGAGTGCTGGTTCGCGACGCAGAACACTCCGTGTTAGGACGGTTCGGAATCGGGCCACTACATGGAGCCATGAGGCCCACCTATGCCGAACTACGAGCTTACTTCTTAAGTTTCGCATCCTGACCGTTTTGTGCACTCTGGGTTGCACAGCGATGCCCAGTTGCACTTTTGCTTGCATTCGCTTGGGGACACTGAGCCAAGCCAGGCCCACAAGAGCATCATGGAGAAGCTTGGCATCCAGCTGCACGAAGGCCACGCCTGTTTCCCTCCGGCAGCCGAATCATGTGGAGAGATGACAGACACGACTAAGCAGCATCTCCCAAGCTGCAGCCAGCTGCTCAGTCGCTTCAACCTGGGGGAGGTGCTGATGTTTCCTCCCCACGAGCGACTTTGCAAGTGCGACGCTGGGAGCTCAGCAAGAAAGTGAGAGTTTGTTCAGTGTAGTGTAGTGCTAGCCTGCTTGTGATACTTTGCCAGCCTTATGCCATCCATGTCAATCGAGGTTCGTCTTGCAGGCGATGTTTCGTTACTTTTCCTACTTCTGAATGTCATAATGTGCAGAAGCCTGTTGCAGTTTAGGCTCAAGCGTTCCCTTGTTTTGGTTTGCGGACACTTCGCAGCCTTTCTCGAAGCCATGTCTCGCCCGGACCCGGCAAAGTCAGATTTCGAAGCTTGGCACTTCAGTTGGACTTGCAGATGCTAGTGCCTCAGCACCAGGTGCGAGGCGGACGCAGAATGCCGCATGTGTTCTTCAGGCATGGGATTGGGTTTCGGTCCAGTCATGTCATGAGCCAGAAGAGGCCTTCTAACTTTGCCGCACGGTTGTTGCATGAATGTCACGGAAAGCCTGATTGTCATATATATATATTTATATTTTTATATTTATATTTATATTTATATATTTATATTTATATTTATATGATCAGGGCAGTGATATCGCAATAGGCTCTGCAAAGCGAATAGGGGTGGCTGGGTGGCCTTCATTGCACGGCAGTGCTAGCTCTGTAGGTTTGAGACCTCGAAGGCTCTAGGCGCTACTGGTAGTTATGTCCCCAGCGCCAAGCCGAGGCCAAGATGGGCATGGAAAAGACCAACTTCATGGTGGTTTTTCCTATCATGCAGCTCGTCTTCTCACTTCCCGGGATCATCGGGGCCTTCGTTGCGATCAGGCAGAGCCCCTTTGTGCAGGCGCGCTGCCATCACCGCGAAGTGTTCCGCTGTCCATGCAAGCGAAAACTCACGACATCACGTGTTTCCTGACGAGGGCCGTGTTGAGAGCATTGCGATCATGAGCGCGGGCCCTTTGTACCTTTCAGTCTTCTTCATGAGCCTCGTCGCACTTTGGTATTTGGAGTACTTTGGGGCCAGATCTGACAGCAGCAGCCTCTACATAGAAAACAAACACGCTATCGCTGTGAACGGATTGTCCGGTGAGCATCATCTGAAGACACATCTAACCCCTTCGCCAGCACATCAGGTAAGCAGATTGTTCGGCGTAGAGTCGGGTCTACCGTCCAAGACCTCGCTTGCATGGTCCCTTTCGGACACTCTCTGATGCTTTCAATCCAGGAGAATCACACTTGGGCTGATGCAAGCAAGCCTTGGCAATGCCCGACGAGACAGTGGCATAAATGTGCCGGACCCCTGCTGCTAGCACGTCTGCATGCAGCACGCTCTCGGTCGTTAGGGTAGCTTCTGTTGAACATGCGTCCTGAATGTGAGACATCATGCGGCGTTTAAAAATGATCCGGCTGCGGCTGTCTCTATACAGCACAAGGGGTGTGTATAATATGTCGCAAGCCTCGGCTCACCCGTTGCTTGGAGCCTGCGCTAGCACCGTTTCTCCGAAAGCATGCCGCATCCACAGCATGAAGCATGCCAAGTCCTACCAAGTGCCATTCCACGTGAAGATTTGGCGCTCAGCCCTCATGGAAGCTTAGCTTCACAGAAAAACCCGAGCTTTTGCAGGACCAGCATGCCTACAAGGTGGTTGGCGGGACCGCTGATGGGGCACTGGTCGGGGCCATCAGAGAATGCGGGGTATGGCAGGGTAGAATTGCTTGAAATCGAGGCTTTCTTCAGTGATGCATTTCGACGGCTATCAGGTCCTCATGGATGACACAGAACCGTTCGGGCGTTTCAACCGAGCTCAACGTGCAGTCCAGAATCACATGGAGCAGGCAGGGTGCACAGGATCCTCCCGGACTCCCACTTCGGCCCGACTGTAGTTCTGAGCTAAGCAGCTTGGGGCCGTTTTTTGCTGGGCCTGGGAGGTCTTCCCCATGGTCTTGGAGTTCTTTCTGTCCGGCTACGTCTTCCCTTGGACAACGGCGGCTCTGGCTTCTGGCTGGGCTGGCCTGCGCTGCTACTGGGAAGCAGAGCTGTTTTTGTCAGCTAACCCACATCGCCCCGCATCACTCCAGATCAGGGTTTTTGTAACAGGGTTAGGCACGCCAGGATGAGGTGCGGGTAACGCACAGCAGTGCACCCGGCAAGAAAACCGCGGTTTCACTCGAGGTGAAAAGGTGGTTTCATCCCGCCCTCGTTTGCAGGCTGGGGTGCCTTATCGTATGCCGACGATCGCATGGCCCGGATCAAGGCCTGCACTGCCCGCTGGACCAGCTGTCAGTCACCATGTGAAACAGCAAGCTAGGCAGCTACTGCCTGTAGCCCCGAACTCTTGGCAAGGGCAACCTCCCCTCCAATGTCTTCTTGGGCTCGATGGCGGGCATCGTCGTCACAACTGGGGTCTTCGCCAGCTTGAAGTGAGATGGTGAGCCACGTTTCGGACTTTGCAGGTAGTCATTGATTAATTGTTCCGGAAACAACCTAGCCGCGAACCGCTTTACAGAGATGATAAAGGCGTGGGCACTCGCAGAATGAAAGCAGCAAGAAAATGGAAGCACTGCTCGGATCGCGGTGTCTGGATATTCAGAGATGTGCATTGGAGGCTTTCGGGTTCGGGTGGGCAGAGTTCATGCACCGATCTCTTCAGCCACCCAAGCTTCCAAACGGACTTGTCTACCCTCACAGGCACAAGCCACGGTGAGTCATACCTCCCTGCACAAACAAGTAAAGTTTAAGTAAAGGCGTCAACAGGTAGCAGTTTGGGAAATGCCGCGCGTAGCTACAGTCGCGGCGCCAGGTGGGAGTGCCATGGTGTGAGCCCCCCAGATTTTAAGTTGGGTTTTCCCCTGGGTAGACACAGCTGGCCACGACATCTTAGCGGTTGGCGGCATCGAGCATTGTAGGCGCTGCATGTAGCCCGTTCGGTCAGCATGGAGACTACATGCACAAAAAATTGGCAATGGCAAGATTGGTTTGCTATCCGTTTGTGTGAGTATCTAGAAATACCATTCCTAAGTCATGTGCGTGTTTGGTTTTGTGCTTGTGTGTTCCTTTGCTTGCAGTGGGCCTTCGCTTTAGGACCGGATGCTTCAATGCTTTCTACTTGGTACCTTCGGCAGTAACTGAAAAAACAAACCGTCCTTGGAGAGCACTTGGCCAGCCGTGTAAGCTGATTCGCGACGGACAGCTTGTGCACTTTTCGGTGCTGGTTCTATGGATGTATCAAACGCTTGTACAGTCCTGTCGCGGAGTTGGTCACAGGCGGAATCACCAAAGGCGGTTTGCTGCAATGGTGACCAGAAAAGGCTTATTTCCCTATTCCTGAAGGTGCTTGCGTCATGCATGTTCCGTAACGAAGCTTTGTGTCACTACCAGGCTAAATGAAGTTGTGCTTGCAACAGCTAGTTAACGGCGCATGCCACTGTACCCGATGTGCTTTCACAGGGCATTCAACCACGCAACGTCGTTACACCGGATTGCAGGTGGGTGTTCGGAGTAGGGGCAATGCAAGCGAGCTGTGGCCCCTTCAAAACCTCAACGCCCTCCCCTATAGGCCTAGACTCCTAGACGTGACGGAATCCTCACCGCCGTGGCCTGTGTGAGAGTCGAGACCTAGAGAAGTGAAGGGATTGTGGCTGTAGCGAGTGGATGGAAAATGGAGTGCTACCGTTATCAGATAGGACACAGCTCGGCCACACTAGAACGGTAGTTTCCTGGTCACGTGGTGCCGTAGGGATTGGTACCTACAGTCGAGCCACTGAGAAAGCTTGTCGGTACATCTGAATAGACAGGCTCGATTCTGCATGTTCAGATCGCTTCGCGGCATGGACACGTCGAGATGAAGCAGATGGAATCTGTGAGTTTACAGAACACTCAAAATTCAATAGCTACAGTCAGACCATGAAACTTCCTCTCATCTAGATGCATTGGACTTGAAACACTCTCTAACTTCAAGATTAAGCAGTATAAGCGCAAAACCTGCGACACTCGCGGTTCAGCTTCAGCATACCGAACAGGGCAGCCAAGGCCCCCTGAGCCCTCGCCGAGCCTTGCTCCGCTGTGCGCTCCCCCATGGGCCGTCTCCGGCCCTGCATGTGGAGAGCCAGGGGCGACCAGGCCAGGACCTGGACCTGAAACCGGGAATTCCTGCTGTCGCGAACGCTTTGGAACGATATGACTCGGCTGCAATAAAGGAATCGTTGCCAGACTGACAGGTCGTGGCCGTGGAAGATGGCTGTTAAGCATGGATGCCTCGAGCCTGAGCTGCAGCCCCCCCCCTCCCGTTTGTGGAGAGAGGTGATAACGGATCTCGGAATCTAACAGCCGAGGGCCGGTGGCGGGACGCTCCGCGAGGCGAAGTTTCGGACTCTTGCGAGACGGTCGCTTCTCCATGCGCTGGCTTTGCTTCTTGCGGAGGTGGAGCCCTCTGAGGCACCGCACGTGGTGGTCGCCGTGCGACTGCGGCCGCTGAGCAGTAGCGAAGTGTCACGGGCCCGGTCCGGTCACTCCACCGCGGCGAAGCGGTGTTTCCTTCTTGAGCCGGAGGCCCTCAGCTTTCCGCGCCACCGCCAGCAGCCTTGCCTGCGACCTACACTGTCAAAGCCTACATGATGAATAGTCTACCAGCACCATGGCTCGTAGCCAGGATGTGCAGTTGGGAAATGGGAAACCGAGGTGATTCCTTACAAGGGCCAGGCTTGCCTGCAAGGGCAAAGCTCTGGATGTTCGTTTCATTCGCGACTACCGGTAACATCCAAGACCGAAGTTGTAGCAGCTCGGTGGGTGCCCAGAATCTGGAAGAGGAGTCGACCCGAATCGACGGCAGGAACACCGCTACAACTTTGACCACGTCCTCGATGAGGATACAAATCAAGCCCAAGACTTAGAACCACTCGGCTGCAGGGTAGCATCCTGAGGCAAGCTGGTGTATCGCTCCAGGTCGCTCCATGCTTCAATATTTAGCATCTCCACAGGAGTTCGGTTTGCTTGTCGGTTCGCGGGTCGTGGTTTTTCGCGGTTCAGCTGGACGGCTCCTGGCCCCTTGGTTCCGGAGTGCGGTTCGCTTCGCGCGACTTCCCTGATGTGAGTTATTCGGTGCCGACTTTACCACTCGTTGCAAGGGACCGTTCTCAGACTATGCCTATGCATAGCCTGCAGCGGCTGCCGCATGGCAAGAGCAGGCTTGACTCGCAAACTTTACTGGCTTACTAGCTGTTTCTGCTCCACTTGCCCGGCCCTTGCAAGAGATCATGCATGTTGCCACATTTTGCACTTACTTGCTTGCCTCTGAAAAAAGCACTTGCCTCATGCCTCATATAATAGCCTCGAGTGGGGAACATTTGTGTGGCCAAAGTCTGCAGAAGAAGCGAGAGATGCATGCGGGGCATGGCAGGCAATGGCAGGGGGGAGAAGCTGACTCTCGGAAGTTTGCATGCGTTGCACCACGGGCGCTGGTCTTGAAAGCTGATCTCCTTAAATAGCCGAGTTCCGATTCCTAAAATTCCTGAAAAGCCAGGGTCCGAGCTTGAGTGCCGAAAAGCGTGGCAAGGAAGCGGTGTTCCTGACTCTCGGTCAGCCGCAGCTCGCAAAGGCTTGCGGCTTGCGACTTTGGCATTGAAATATGCAGGGGCATGACTATTGGAACATCAAACAATCGCTTCAGATGTTCTAATTATGGTAGACTTCCTCCTGCAATGCAATCTGACATGCTCTCGTGCCGATGCCTGCTCGGAGGCTTTCGAAGGCTATAACAGCACGATTTTCGCTTATGGCCGCTGGCTCATCATGCTATGTCGCCTGTCGATGGGGTTTAAGGTGCCTGACTCGAGCTCACATTGAGAATTGCTTGGGTGGTAGCCATGAAAAGCTGCATGCTCTGCATTTGGGAGCCAGTCGTCACCAAGTGCAAGTCCTCATTGGTCATGACGATGGGCAGATGCATTTGCATGCCAAGGCCAGACTGGTAGTGGGAAGACATACACTATGCTGATGCCCATCTGCAGTGGTCCTTCAGCGCTTTTGGACCGAGACATTTCAAACTATGACCAGGTTTTTGAGAACTCCTATAGCTTGAGGCGGCAGAACCTGACGGCATTCGTAGGAATGTTTTTTGTTGGACAAACTCCTTCAGCTGCCTGCGCAGTCGGCATACGTCGGGTTTGTGGATGTAGCAAGCATAGCAGCAGGACAACTGTGCTTGCATGTGTGACAAAGCATCTAGCCCTCCACTCCAAAGCATCTCCTTGTTTAGCCTTGGCTGCAAGAGTTGGGTGCGATTCTGGAAATACGAGTTACAGTGTTCCTGAGCATCAAGAACCAGCCCGCCAGTCCGACTGTCTTTTCCGAGTTTATCTCTCCCAGTAAAGCTTACTGAGGAATGTAGAGAGCGACCGACGTCACGCTGCCTCTCGGAAGAAATCAGATTTAGCTATGTTTTCTTCTGCGGCCAATGAGATCAGCATGACTTTTGGCACAACATCAGCAGCTTGGCTGCCGGTGTCATGGCGCTGCAGGATCTGGGCCTCATCCCCAGGATGAGCAGCAGCTTGTTCCAGCGAGTTGCCGAGGCTACTGCCTAAGCAATGCTTTGAGCTAGTCCGCCAGTTAGAACGCATTGTGCAGTGGCTTCGTGAACATGTCCTGAAACAGGCAAGCAACCTGAGCAAGACAAATCGGTTTTTGGTGCAGTGCAGCTTCCTGGAAATCTACAATGAGGCCGATGCTGCAGGGGAGCGATTCGTGGAACCCTCCAGTCAACACTAGCATGCCAAGACCCGTATTGCCGTATTGAGACATGTCAGCTGTTGTATGGGTTCGAAAACTTTACCAGGCCCAGTCTCTCTGAGCAGGTCATCTACGATCTGTTGACGCCGCGCAGCTTTGGCCCAAGTGGACTGGATTTTCGCAAGCGTCATGACCTCCCAATCCATGTGAAGGGGGTTTAGCGACAGCGTCAGCACCTTTGTCTTGAGGTCGTGCCAGAGGCAAGGGATTGGAGATTCGGGAGCAGAAGGCGGGATCTTGAGGTCACTCACATTTGGAAGCAGGCTCAGTCGCAACAGTTGGGCTGGCGTTGTGACAAGCTTTGTTGACAGTGTTAACAGCCCCGGCAACGGGTACTGTTGCACCGGAGTCCTCCACTGCATTCAATGCCCAAAACGCAAGCGTTTGGCTCGCTCTCGGGTACCGGGGACTGCATTCGTGGATGACAGGCATCAGCTTGGCATAGCTAGTGGCACCAAAAACAAGCCCTCCTTGTAATTCTTCTGAGATCTGCTGCAAGTGTGGAGACGCTGCAAAGCTGAAGCCCTGGCTCTCATTCCGCTCCTGCGATGGAGCCAGCTTCGCCTACGTCCGAGACTTCCTCATGGAGCCTCAGCTTGCATTCCACACGCAAGATGTCTGAACAGTCTCCCTCTGTGCACTAGCTAATAGCGGATTGACATGCCTGAGCTTATAAGTATAAATAACTTCCTTTACATAATGGGTGACCTGACTATAGCCCTATAGCCGTCCATGCCGTCTTTCAGCATCTTTCAGCAGCCTCTCCATCCCCCAGACCATGCACCTTTGGCAAAGGAGCACTGCGAAGAAGGCAGTGGAGCGACAGAGTACTCGCGCTCTGGCATGGGGCCCCCTGGCCAGGGACACTCTGTGCACTGCATCTATGAACTAGTATGTGGCTGGGGCTAGGTTCTGGAGCTGGTGGCAGGGAGCATTCGTTGCACATGCTCAGGGGCTTCGATCCGGGAGTACAACCAGAAGAAGGTCGAAAGAAGCATGTCTTCAACGCAGACGCAGCTTGCCTGCAGTTTGCAGGGCGCGTCGAGCTTGAGTGCATGCGAGGGGAAGGCAGGGAGTGTAGACACTCAGCTTATTGCAAACGAGTGACGACAAGGTCACAGGCTGCCAAAAAGAAGTCCCGAGTACGATCAGAAGCCAGGGACTCGGCAGCTTCGAATGCTGTGGCTCGCATTCCTGGTACCTGAAGTCTCAATCGGTTGGTGTGGTGGACAACATATTTCGGCAGAGAGTGTTGTCAGAGGACTTTCTGCAGGCCACGTCCGCTTGAAAAACTGTTTTCGCAAAGACACAACGAGAGAGCAAATTATGCCCCCACAGCGGAAGGCTAGGGGCACTCCAGCAGCTTTCAGCGGCAGCATTGCGGGGTGCTCTCCGAGAAGGCTCCAAGAGCACTCCTACAGCACGACCGTGGCCGGAGCAGAAAGGCACGAGTGACCAGTGACGGCCAGGCGCGGAAAATGCTCCATGCAAAAATGAAAAACATGCACATTCACACGGCAAAAGTGGGATGTCCAGGGTTCGCGCTGCCAAGTAGCTGGTGTCCTGTGATTCGGAACGATGAGCAGTTCGAGATGGTGTTCGTTTGACACTGGAAGGAGCAATTGTGCTGCACCACGGTACCCCAGATGCAGCTCATACTCTCATGCCGCTCATGATGCATGATTTCCCACTGTCCGCAAAAGAGCCTCTTGATGGAATCGGGGCACTGTGAGCGAACTCTCGCAGATGAGGATTCATCAGCGGCATGGTTCCAAAGTGTAGAGTCGTCGAGATGTAAGTTTCGACGGATGCGAAGTAAAACACAGTAGGGACAATCAGAAGCGTGTTATTTGCACTACCAGCATCTATAGATAATCAAGTCGATTGACTGCACATGCGTGTATATATTATACACGCAATCGAAACATATCGAACATGATGCAATCACCATGCTTGCGAAGGCCTGCTAAAAGCTGGAGAGCTTGATGAGGTCACGAGGGTACAGTAGGTGGCTGAAGCTGGAAAGCATGCACCTCGTTCTACACTCAACCGAGAACTTTGCAAGATGCTGTGCAATGGCGTCCACGCCATCTGCTGCTTGCCGCCAATCGCAAGATATCCCGACGAAATGATGGAGAGGAGCAAGTTGCATGCGGTGCCAGGTCTTAGAAGCTGCTCTCAAATGAAAACCGGATGAAGCACAGGCGTGTGTCGCAAAAAGGCAATGGAACAAATCTCACGGTGTGCTACACGCGAGAACCCCCCTGCACCCCCACAATGCGGGATTGCAAAAGCCACTTGGGTGGAGGACCATGGGTGCGCGTGAGGGGTAGCTTACACAGCTACCGGAGACTGCAGACTGTAGCAGCTGTCGCTGCGACACCATTTGCGCTGTAATCTGCTTGTCACCAGCAGCCCATGCTGAGATTGAGAGCTGGTTGCGGAGATATCTATGCTTCTGCTGCCTTTCTGGAGAAGGACCCTGTGAGGTTGCACATCGGGTTAAGATTTTCTGGGTCCGGAATCGAAGTTTCCCTTTGGGATCATTTGTGTCATCTTGAAGTGACGTCATCTCCTGCCAATGACAACGAATCATCCCAAAGTTCCACGGCCTGCGGATTCGCTGAGCGCCCTTTGCCAGGAGAGCTGCCTCAAGCTGCAACTTTGCTCAGATTGTTCTGTGTCCTTCTGCTTCCGATGCACGAATACATGACTGAAATCTGAGTCTTCTTTAGCCGGGATACCCCAGAAGTCGGCCGGAGTTCAATGATAAAAGACGCCGGGAAGCTGCGTTGTCACGGTTCCTCCCTTTCCCCCTAACATTAAAACGCCCCCCGCCCCTCGCCCCTAATATAAAAGCTGATTTCCGGTGGTTTGGTTTGGCTTTTGTATTAGGGGCGGGTTTCGGCGCATCCGGGTATGAGTATGAGTTGGATTGACAGGAATAGCGAGTGAGCCAGACACAAACACCTTCCATCACACAGCCGTTCCGGCTGTAGCAGACCTGCCTCGACCAAACAATACCCTTGCCCCCCCCCAATTTTAAAACTACCTCGACTCCTAGCTGCTAGTTATCCCGAGCCTGTAGCCTCCATACACTTATCTAAAGCCCGTGAAGCCCTCAGCCCGAGAGCCCTGAACCCGAACGCCCAAAGCCCAAAGCCCTAAACCTTGAGCCCTAAAGCCCTAAGGCCTACAAGCTTTAAGCCCCAAGACCTAAGCGCCTAAACCCTAAAGCTCTGGTCCTTTCGGTGTGATTAGTACTGCTGTAATCTTGGCTTCATCAAACCTAATGCATCCTAGGCCCCCCGAATGCTTTTAATTAGCTTTCAATTGTGGGCCCGAAGCGGCCGGTAGGTTTTTATGTTCGGGGAGGGGGTTTAATGTAGAGGGAAGGGATTACCGCCTCTGCGAGGCTTAGGAAGCACGTAGACGTAGGCTCGGTGATTGCAGGTGACCATCGCGACCGATGTGGAAGATCTGAAGCAGAGTGTTCGGCAGAAGATGTCTAAGCAGACCTATTCTGTGAAGGTGCATGAGGGGTTCTTGACAGATATATGCTGCCAGGCAGATTCTGTGACGGGTCATTGACAGAAACTGCTGGCATTTAGCTGTCATGGAAGCATGCACTGGGCTCATTGTAGCTTCGTGCCGTGGATGGTGCTTTTAACATGCAGGACTTCTACAAGTCGAACGGCATTTTCCAGCGGATCGCGAAGAGCAACTACTTCGAAAACTTTACACTCTTCATCATTGGAGTCACTGAGTCGCATCTACTCATCATGCCCTCGTCGCTCAGCTTGGCACTGTTTTGAGCTTACTGCGATGTCATTCCCATGTCAGACCACACGTAAGTTGTGTCAGTACCTGCAGTGCCGAGGGATTGAGAAGTTTTTTTGTGAACTGTTCCTCCAAACTCTCGAGTCCTCACAGTTCACGACAAAGCTGTTGGTCATCGCTGCTTCAGCTCCTCGCAGCCAGCACACCGCGTCCATGCTGTCGCAAGGTGAATTCGTTGTGGCCCCTTGCCCGCACGTAGAGAGGGATGCGAAGCGTAGAGGGAGAGGAACGAAGAACAAGAGACACTGAAAGGGAAAGCGAGGCTTGGGACACGTCTGGCATCGAGCTATAGTTGAAATTAGCAGTTCAATCCGAAGATGTTTGGGTTTGCGCCTGCTGCGGTGTTTGTGTGCGGAATGCAATGCAGTAGCTTCAGACTTGATTGCCTGCAGGATCTGGGTTGACACGGACAACAACGATGCGTGTGGAGCTCAAAGCACATCTCCTTACAAAAGGAAGAGAAGAGACCGCCGTCTAGTAAACTGATTTTGCCCAGATTTCCAAACCCGGCAAGGGCCATCATCACGGAAGCGAAGATGGAGTTTCAGATTGCATCTGTGATGCACTGGAGACTTGTCTGTGCCTGATAGAAGCCAACGGCTAGCTAGCATGTGCTGTTGGGCTATCCAGTGGCTTGCAGATAAGCAAACTACAGACTTATGCTGCAGCTTTCGGAACCCCTCAGCTTTGATCCAAACCCAACCGGATCCCGGACCCAGCCCAACCGAAGCTAGCCGAAGCTCGTAGCATCGTAGCGTAACGAGACTTAAGTCGAGCCTGGCCTACTGTGGACATGACGCCGCGACGCTACGGCCAAGACATACATACATTGAAGATACACTGCATTTACGTAACGCTGCTTTTGTTCCGCGCTCGGGCCTGGGCAGGTTGAGAACATTTTCTGCGCCTTCTTCACGTTCGAGTGGGTTGTCCGGTGGCGGCCTGGCGGTGACAGCGCCTGTATCGGGTAGCTACAGTGGATCAGAAGTTCAGAAGAATCACGAAGCGTGTGAGTGTCGTGGAGTGTGTGTGTGTGCCTATTTTGGCTGGAGGGCTCCTGATCTTGCCTAAAGACGGCGGACGTTTGAAACGGAAGTCACATCGGAGACGCACGACAGGTTGCCCGACCTTTGCACATTGGTCTCCGAGGATGGCTTTTCGAAGAACTTCGTTTGCATTCAGGGATGCCTGGTGCGGGCCTCACATGGCGGGCTTGGTGGAGGTTGGCAAACTTGCGATCCACGTCATACGTGGGACACAAGTGTTCGCATTAATTACGACCTCCTGACCCAGGTTCGTGTTCGACACATTACTTGTGACCCTGATGATCCTGGAGACCTGGATTACGCGCGCGGCTCTGTTGTTGCGGAACTCTTTGTGCACTCATCTTCCGCTGTTGGTGGCCTTGTTTCGAACTTGTCCATCTCTCACATTCAAAACTCCAAACGGTCTTGAAGCGGCACAATTATATCGACCTATGCTTCAGGCCCATCGTGCTCGGGGTCCTCAGCATTTCCAGCTCGCGGCTTACAATCCTTCTGTGCAGCGCGGTCATGTCACGCCCAACGCCGTCCAAGCATCTCCCGAGGTGACGGCATTGGGGATGCCTCAATACTTCGTCTCGTGCGGCTGCTCAGGCTCGCGCGGATGACACGGGTAGTCGCTTGGCCGAGTGGTGAGACTGCCGTCACACAGAAGCTACATCTAGAACTACGCTTCCCACAGGATTCGATTTCTTTGCTTTCTCACAGAATTTTTAGAGTTCTCTCGGCTGATCTTAGGCAAAGCTCCTGCGCGCCTTCCCGGAAGTACTCATCATGATCAAAGGCACTGGGGGTGTGCCCCATTCAACCTTGTCAAGTCAAGTTCGAGCGATTGTGTCTGCAACTTCCATGAGCTTGTACCTGCTATCCAGGCATCAGTGCGGCAGCTCGGTCGGTCTTCTTCACCATCTGCCTGCTCCTGCTGGCAGAAGCCTGAAATGCCAGAGAGCGAGAGGAGAGGGAGACTGGGATTTCTGAACGCCCTGAGCAGTACAGCCACGCTGAAACACCAGTGAGACGGCACAGTCTACCCCCGTGCAGGCCGTAGGCATGGAGAGCGGCTAGCATAAAAAGGGAGGCAAGGCAGCACGAGATGAAGTATTACAGGAAGCGGGATCGGCCTGGTGCCTTTTGACAGAGAGAGAGAGAGAGACGTACAGCATCCACTAGGGTTTGTTTTGCGACAATTTGTTCATGCATTTTTCGAAATATATTTACATTTCTATGTTGTCACACCACATCTGTCGTGCTGTGCTACGGTGCATATTGGATTGCTTGCATCCCTTTTACGTGTCACCAAGTCTGAAAAGCAGAAGATGCACGAATGCGAAAAGTCTGATCAGGTCTTGTACATCTTCGGCATCGCCTTCAGACAGATTTGCGTAGGCACACGCAGAGTTGAGGATGACTTTCTCATGCTGTTTTCGCGGCATCGACAATAGTTGAGAGGAAGCCGAGCTGCCAGGACTGGGCATCGGAGAGGCCCATTTCCCCACGGTTCCAGAGGCGATGCTCACCTTGCTGATCCATGGTGTGCCTCTGCCTCGGAGGCAGTGGCTAAGAATAAGCCGCATGTCTAAGAGCAAGAGCGTCTCAGGTTTATGGATGACATGGCCGAGCTGTCAGAGCCTCGGGATGCCACGGGATGGTAATGTGACAGAAGGCTGGGATAGGAAGTGTCCAGAAATCTCATTGATAAAACGTGATGAATAGTCTTCTGCCAAGGGTGGCGGAAGTCAAGGGTGAAAGCTCCGTTGCATTCGGTCTGCCTGCGCCCGAGCTGTCACGGTGACCTTAGTACCGGCCCTACGTTTGAAGCGGGCGAAGCCTTCAAGCCTTTTGAGATGGAACAGGGTCTGTTCGTCACCATGCCGTGAAGTGGTGCTGCATGTCTACACGACTGGGCAGCATTCTCAATTCTGGATTCTCCGAGAGCCGCATCCCTGAGGTTCATCATTTTTGTGCTGATTGTCCGGGCCTTGGCCTTTAGGTCGGATCCGTTTGCACGGTTGTTTGCACGGTTGTCAATCACCTAAAAAACCCCTGCGTGCCTTACACGCCAGGGCTGAATCCAACATCGACAGTCAAGCCACTTTGAGTCCGGGCCAGGCCTCCATCACTCTGATGAACATGCTTATCGGACTCTCGGCCAGAATGTCGGATAGTTTTGCCATGATTGCCTTGAACTGTGGGCCCTTTCTGCTGCAAAAAGCGGCTCGTCCCTTGTCATTGTGCTGGCGTGCTGAACATCTGGGTCGTGGCCGATGCCGGTGGCAAGCTGTCCACACAGAGACTGAACGGCGAAGCGCGGATTCTCTCTTCTGCTGCCGAGGCCTGCTCTTGGTACGCACGATGTCTTGCACTTGGCATCTCCGCCACAAGAAAAAGAAGACCCGAAACTAAGAAGTAGACAGACGTATATAGCGATGCATAGTGAAGCGGACAGATGGACTTAAGTATCGATTCAACAACATGTCTTCCGTACATGCAGACGCGTTTGTTCTTGAGCCAAGGAGTGCTTTGTGAGGTGGTGTCCATGGTGGGACAAAGCGAGCGCGAAGAGCTTCTTGTGGATCTCGTGAAGCGAGAGCTCTTGGACTCTTGTCTTGCAGGAACCCGGGAGTTTCTGAACTCAGAAAGTCAGTGGAGTTGCCTCCCAGGATATCATCCTTGCAGCCGACGAAGTGACTTGCCTGTGATGTTGGTATCTTCTCGATCCGAGCTTGTGAGATTCGCACACTGTTCCTTTTGCGTCTCCATACGGGCAGAGTGCGTGCTGCTGATGGGACTGACTGACCATGCCTAATAATGTGTGGTTTAAAGGGGTCATACTTGCAGCGCATGCAGCATTTCAGCTTGCTCAGGATGGCGATGGGTTGATGTCACACGCGGAGTTTCTGAGGACGAATGCATGCACAACTTGCACGCACGATGTAATCGTGCAAGTCTCCCGTCACATTAGCCTTTGCACCTAGCGGCCAGCGTAAGTTGGTAGGGTTAGGGGTCTCGAATTTGATTTGCAGGTGGGGCGAATGTGTTCAGTTGCATTGAAGGGTGCTCCTTACGGGACGGAGCCCGGTTCACAGCAAATCAACTTGAAGATTCAGCAACAGCAAACCCTTGCAACTATGTCGACACTGCAGTCCAGTCACGTCCGCAGCAGACCGGCTGCCTGCCCGAAGCCTCATGCCAATGATGAGTCCAACTGCCAAAGCACCGTCAGGATATTGGAAAGTCCGGAGGGCCTCAAAGCATTGGAGACGGCTCGTGGGGGGGGGGGGGTTGGGTAGAGCACCCATTAGGTTTTGGGAGTTTAGTCTGTTCTCCTGAGCCTGAGGCTTGGGGCATGTTTGCGTCCGGAATGGGACCCGTGAATTAAGCTGCTACTCGCAAGCCTTTGCTTCAAGGTTCCCATGTCTGAGCCGATTATCGTTCTCGACGTTTAGATGCAGCGAGTTTGCTCAGTGCCCTTCCGCACCGTTCCGCATGTTCACATTGCTCACAGGTCGCCAACTAGACATGACGTTGACCTGCTTTGTGCCAGGTCGGAGTGGATCCCGTGGGTCTCATCGACTATGCGGATCAAATTTTTGCGAAGGATTCGGGTCCATTTTTCACTGGCGTGCCGCGAGCGGTGCTAAGCGGATAATGCACTCGTGTCGATGCCCTTGCGGACACTGGGAAGCTTGAGCTCGAAGCGCTAGGCCACAAGGATGGAACAGCCCTGCAGCTGTGCGTGCTTGCCCGAATGCTGGTGATATGAGTGTCTGCAGGAGAACGGCGAAGAAGGAACGCAAGAAACCGTCTTGCTTCTTGCCGAAAAGCAGAAACGAGTATGCTCATTCATCCGTTGTGGTACTCGTCGTAAACTTCGACTTCAAGCACAATGGCAGTGCGAGCTGTTCAATAGAGCGATGCCGTGCAACACTGAGGTTTTCACATTTTATGAATGAGATATTACAGCTGCGTGGCACGAACACCTGCACAGTGAAGGCTGCGGGGATGCAAACAAGAGTAAGACACATGTACATGCTGGGGTGCTGTACTCTTTGGAGTACGTGCCTGGGTGTAGCAGAGCTTCACGGATGCCTTGCAGACGACTTCTTGGACGTGAGCGATTGGCTAATGTGTTGTTCGCCTCTTCGACTCGAAGCTTAAAGGTTTTTCACTTCGGCTTACTCTGTGTTCTGTAGGCCTCCAGCCACAACTCAACATCGTGTGCGCTGATTTCATGTTTCCGACAGCTAGGCCTCGCTCACCCCTTCTTGCGAGGACCTCATCAACATGAGGAAGGTTGTCGAGAGATCGGGCAAGGACACAGTTGTAAGATATGTGGTACACATACGTTACATGATCGTACATGGCAACTATCGTACACGTATATGTTTGTATGTGTGTGCACACGCATACCTCAGACATACTTACATAGCTATACCTGTGCACATACATCCATCCATCCATCCATCCATCCATCCATCCATCCATCCATCCATCCAATGGCACGCCTGCGTACAGACACACACACACATACATACATGCGTACGTACGTACGTACGTACGTACGTACGTACGTACGTACGTACATACATACCTACGTACATACGCACATACTTGCGTACTTACATATACGTGCATACTTACATAGATGCATATGTGCATTCATGCATACATAGTGCATGCATAAGAGACACTCGCGTCAAAGCTCTTGCACAGTGGTGAGCCAATCGGCTCGGGTGACCTGACCTGTCCCCGAAGTGAAGTGAAGTGGCGCCCAGCAGGCAAGCAGGCAGGCAAGCAAGCAAGCGAGATAGAGAGAGAGAGAGATACATTCCACCAGGGGACAGAGAGTGAGTAGTATAACCACATGCCTCAAACAGTCATAG